CATAGACCAACAAATCTGTAAGTGCTTTTTAATATAACCCTGCTTTTTGCCTAGGGTGTTTCTCTATGATGGAATTTTTAAATCATGTAAAAGCAAGTTTACTCAAGGAAACCATCAGACAATGAATGGGGAAGTACTCATGGACTCAAGAGTGCAATTACTAAAACTGTGTCTTCTGGGCTTTAAATACAAATGTTTGTAAAGTACAACGTTTCGACTGGCGCGTGACACTCTTCTTTTCAAATGTCTTGACATCTTCAGTTGTGGAGTCGATTTTAGGCAAAATTAGCCGAAATTTTTTTATCGCAACCCTGGGTGGCTAGGCCCCTTGGTCCTATCCTTGAAACATCGGTCTACTGTTAAAATATACTGATTCCAGCCACCGAATGAGCAAGACCTTCATTTTTGACAAAGACATAAAACGCCTATCGCTCAGCTGAAACAAGTCTATCTTTGTCGTAAAACTTTTTCAATCAAATGCTAGACAAGAGTCCTCCAGTTTTTTTTTAATCTTACGAGAAGGCATTGCTAATGCATTAAAAGGAATATATTTTTAAAAATTATTTACCTATTTTTCAGCATAATTCCATTCATGACTCTCAAAACCGTTCCTTAGTCATTCCACCACCTCAACGCCACTAACACCCCACATCTCTTCGAAACCAACCATTTTCGTCAGTTGAATAATCAAATTAGATTTTAATCGCTTATTTACTCCCCAATTAATTAAACCACCCGAACCGTTGGTTATTTACGCGACAGCCAGTCGAGTCGTTTTCTGGTGCTAACTGTCCTGCGCTTTGGCGTATCGACGTCTCTGTTTAACGCCTACTGTTAATTGCAACTCCGATGGACGATAGTGTTGCTCACTTCCCTCCTGTCATACAGTACAGTTTATTGATCGAGTAGAACTGGATGAAATCAGACTTTAGTGGCTGTAAAAGTAAAGTATCTCGTGCCTACTTTGAGTGTGCCGCTGTTCTATTATCACTGTCTTCACTGCAGTTAATACGATACACCAAGGAAATCATCTCGAATTCGTCTAACGAGCTCAACTTCGATAATAGTGTCGATGTCGAGGCAAGTTCAGGTACCACCGAGCACGTCCACGGATTCTGTCTGGACAGTGGAACTAACACTAGTAATAATTTCAGAGAAGACAGGTTAACGTCATTTGCATTCAGGAGGTGAATTGAAAAGAAGAGAAAAGTGGAAAGCGACCAGACTGGGCTATGAACGCCTTTACTGTGAAACGTCAAGCAAAGAATATTTCGTTGGAGTTTTACTGAACAAAGCGATCAAAGACAAGGCATTCCAAGTCAACTGAATTAACGACATAATCATGGGCATTAAGCTCTATTGCAAAGTAGTATCTTATATACCATGAGTGCCTATGCCCCTCAGACTAGCCAGAATGAAGCTGAAAACTCGAAACTGTGGGAGACCATAGATACTGCACGACAAAATATACCACGAAACGATCAACTGGCAATCGGAGGTGATCTTAACGGGAATGTCGGGAAACATCGAATGGGTTACGACAGGATTCATGGCAGATATGGACATGGTACGTTAAAGAAAGCAGAGGATATTGTGCAGGTGGCATATGACTTGACTCAGGTAAACACATTCTTCTAGAAAAGAGAAAACCAACAGCCTAAAACTTACGAGAGAGTGTAAATAAGAAATAACATCGACTATTTCCTACTCAAAAGAAACGAAATGAAGAATGCCAGATATTGGAAGGTTATCTCGGGGAATTCCGTCACCAGTCAGCAGCAGTTGCTGATAGTAGACATCTACAAAAACGTGATGTCACCTAGAAGACTGGAAGTATGGATGCAGATGGACAGCATAATCGTATGAAATGTCAGAGGGCTACTCGGAGAATCAAAGCACAGCATATATCCAGAAGGAATTGTGGCTCTGGAATGCAGAAATGCAGGTGACTCTAAGACAGCAGAAAGAGTTGTTCAAGAAATGACAG